GGCGGCTGTGGATGCGGCGGGGGCTGATGCGGCGGTGGCTGATGCGGCGGCGGCTGCTGTGGTGGCGGCTGCGGCTGCTGTGGTGGCGGCTGCTGCTGCTGATGCGGAGGCGGTGGTGGGATCGGGGGCTTGGGGCCGCCCTGGCCCGGGCCGGGACCCATAGGGCCCCGGTTCTGACTGAGGCCCATGCCGGGCGGCGGGGAGCGGAAGTCGTGGAGGCCGCCGCGGCCGCCGCCTCCTCCACGCCGGTGGAAGCTGCCGCCGCCACCGCCGCGACTCCGAAACCGATCACGAGACATGTCTGTGGTCAAGGGGCGGTCGAGGCAGAAACGAAGAAGCCGCTCAGGGAACGTCGAGGCCACTTTGCTCCTCACAAAATGGCGAATGACACAGGCGGTACGCTGCCTTTGTCCTCTTCTTATATAGGCCCGCTGGCACGGCCCCGCCTACCCCTTGATCGACAGCTCAGGTAACCAATTCAAAGTACGGTACTTGATGACATCAAGTTACGAGCCGCTAATCTTTTCTATTGGCTCCCAGGAGAAAGGCGGGAGGCATGGAGGAGCTGCAGTTTCCAGTTGACCAATGAGCGGAGGAGTTAAGCTGTAGGCCATTGTGATTTGCTGGGAGAAATTTGAATGGATGTGCCGGAGCAATTTTCCCATGAAAGCAAATAACTAAGGCCCTATGAGCTCCCGGGGAGAGGTGTTGGAGGGCTCTTTTCTTTCTTGATTGACTCCAGGAGGAATCTGCTGATATCCTTCCCCAGAAAAACGTTCTCCACTTCAAAGTCATAAATTGAGTGCTTACTATCATCTACCCTACCTCGTGCTGGGCCAATGAAATTAGAGAAATAGCCTTATCGATTTCAAACACACACACTCATGATTTCATGTTGAAACCTCATAGAAATACAGGTTTGTTGGAGCACTAAAGACTTCGCAATAGGCTTAAGTGGGTGCATTCTTTGTTCAAAAAGAAAAGAGCCCTTGATCATGTGTGTATATATATATACACACACTAATAATTTACAAACACAAATCACAGGAGGAATATAAATTACTCACCACCCAACCCCTTATGAACAGATTAAGGTACTTAAAACTTACAATATTAAAATCTCCATATGGGGCTGGCCGGTTAGCTCACTTGGTTAGAGCGTGATCGAGGGTTCGGATTTCCGTACCAGCCAGCTGCCAAAAGAAAAAACAAAACAAAACAAACCCCCCCCAAAAAAACCCTAGAGGTGGAAAGGAAGACAAGGAACTATGAGCAAATATTGAGGGAGAAACGATCCATCAAAAGATCTATAGATGACAGCAACTAAGAGAGTATTAAGGGATATGGACTTCAAAGAAGCTGGAGATTTTGAAATAAGAAGGATGCTGCCGACTAGTTGATTCTAGTCCGAAATCGAACCCGTGACCTTGACCTTATAAGGCTGCTCTCTAACCAACTGGGCTAACCATCTAGACCTCCACCTCTACTTCTGTTCATCATTCAACATCCATGTGGATGACCCACTGCTATGGTTTGTCCCCTCCAAAACTCATGCTGTACCCCCACCCCCCAAAACAGTTAAATACATTTCTTCTCTTTGGGGCTGGCCAGTTAGCTCAGTTGGTTAGAGCGTGGTGATGGTAACACCAAGGTCCACGGTTGGATCCCTGTATTGGCCAGCTGCCAAAAAAAAAAAAAAAGTCAAAGCTCTTGTTGGAACTTAACTTCCAATATGGTATTTGAAAGGGGGGGCCTTTAAGAGGTGACTGGATCTTGGATCCTGAGGACTATGCCTTCATTAGTAGATTAATCCATTCATGGATCAATGGGTTAATGGTTTAATGGGTTATCAGCGAGTGGCTCTGGTGGCTTTATAAAGACAGCATGTGAGCATATTAAGAAGTGCTCTCGCCCAGCCTTCATTATATGAAACACTATGTTGTCATGGGATTCTGTACAGAGTCCCCACCAAGAAGAAGGCCCTTGGACTTCCTAGCCACCAAACTATAAAAAGGAAAAAAAATTTTTTTTATAAATTACCCAGTTTTAGATACTATGTTGTGAGCAACAGAAAACTAACTGCACCCACACAACACCCTGTCAATTACATACCTCCTCACCCCCAGCAATCTTTCCTTCTATCCTATATCAGCCATCCACTTCCCCACCCTTCCCCCCATCATGATTATCTCTGTGTTTGTTGTTGCCAGTAATTACACCATTTCTGAAATCTCTAGTTCAAGCATTCTTCTCACTGATCATCACTTCTTTTCTTTCTGGTTCACTTATTCGCTTTTTTTGTTTGTTTGTTTGGTGGATGGCTTGTACAGGGATCCAAACCTTTGACCTTGGTGTTATAACACCATGCTCTAACCAACTGAGCTACCGGCCAGCCCCTATATTCTTACGTTCATAGTTTGTCTCACCCAGTTTAGATGTTATGATTACCTACTAACACATACAACTCTTGTTTTTCTCTTTCTCCATTATACTTACCTGGTAAAACCCCAACCCTAGTTGAATTCAGCAATTCACCTTCTTTAACAGGGACTGAAGCTTTCATTTTAAATTATTGGCCACAAACTTCAAAAGGGCATATTAGACCTTACCTGTCAATCTTACTGAATTTCTCTAGTAAGTTCACTTTCCCACTTCCAGAGATAGTTTATTTCATGCTTTCTCTCTTCAAACCCCTACACTCTCCTCTCTTATCCTACCATAATTAATGACCTTTTCTCATATTTCTTTGAGAAAATAGAAATTATCAGAGAGGAATGTTCTCATCCAACTGGAAAGTCACAAGTCTACTTGATTTGCCTCATCTTCTCTATCTTCCTTCCAGATGTCATGAAAAATGTGTCTTTGCTCCTATCAAAAAGCAAACCCTCTCTTTGTGCATGGATCCCACCCCCTCAAGCCTTCGCAATGATTTTTCCTTGCTGTATCAGTTACTTCTACTGGATCATTAACAAAACCTTCCCTTTATCCTATCATTTCATTTCTTAACTCTTCTTTGCAAGAAAACTTCTAAAAGAAGTTGTCTACACTCATGGTCTCCATTTCCTCATCTCTACTTCCTCTTCAATCCACCCCAATCTGTCCACAATACTCCTCCTAAACTGTTGCCAAGGATACCAATGATCCCCATGTTGCCAAATCCAGTAAATACTTCTCTATACTCATCTCTTTTTACCTGTTAGCAACATTCAATACAGATGGCAGTCGTCTTTCATGAAACATTTTCCTCCCTGGCCTTCTGTCATACTATACTCATGATTTTCTTCCTGCCTCATTGATCATTCCATCTTCTCCCATGTAGGACCTCTAAATGTTGAGATATTTCAGGGCTCAGTTCTGGGACCTCTTTAACAGTGCTTGCTCCTTGCCTATATAATCTCTTCAAGATTTCAAACACCATCTGAATGTTGAAAATTTCCAAATTAATTTATATTTCCATGGTAGATCTCTCTAAGTTTCCAAGTCAGATATCCAACTATTTATTAGATCTCTTCACTTACAGACTTAGTTGGCATATCAGATTTAATATACCCAACCTGGAGCTCTTGATTTTATCAACCTAACCTATTCACCTAAACTCCCACAGCAAAATAAATAACATAATAAATGTTCAAAACAAAAAATATGTATAATTTATCCTCTTCATAAAATCCAAAAATGATTCTACCTTCAAAGTATATCTTGAATCCATTTATTTCACTCCATTTCTACCACTACATCCTATTCTTCTCCACCTCCTTCTTATACCTAAACTACTGCAACCACTTCTTGTCTCCCTGCTCTCTCTCTGGGTCCTCTAGTCCATTCTCCATATAGCAGATATGATTTTTTTTCTTTTGAAAGCTGGCCGGTGCACGGATTCAAGCCCTTGACCTTGGTGTTATAAATCTAAACTACTGCAACCACTTCTTGTCTCCCTGCTCTCTCTCTGGGTCCTCTAGTCCATTCTCCATATAGCAGATATGATTTTTTTTTCTTTTGAAAGCTGGCCGGTGCACGGATTCAAGCCCTTGACCTTGGTGTTATAAAGCTGCGCTCTAACCAGCTGAGCTCTAACCAGCTAAGCTAAGTGGCCAGCCCCTGAATGATCTTTTTTTAAAAAAATTGTTTAAATAATGTCATTTGCTTACCCTATTTAAAGTCCCTTAGTGGCTTCCCATTGTTCTTAGAATAAAATCCAAACACCTTACTAGGGTCTACAAGGCCTGACTTGATCTGACCCCTGCCCGCTTACCCAGTCTTATCTCTCTAGTTCCCAAACTCCATCCACACTAAGCCCTTATCTGTTCCTAAAATTGATCAAGTTACTTTATCTGCATGCTTTCTGCCTCAGAGTATTTGTACTTGTTGTTTACTCATCCTGAAATTCTTTTCCCCCAACTCTTTGCAGTTTCATTCTTGTATCTCACTTGAAAGACACCTCAAAGAAGCCTTCTCTGCCAATCAACACTTCTAAAGTAGGCCTCCCCTCTCTGTTACAACATCCTGTATATGATATAATGTATATGACAGTTCTCTTCACAATTTGTATATACCTTGTTTATTTCAACACTTGTCTATTGTCTATCTCCCTATTAGACTGGGACTCTGAGTTTCTTAAGACTGTATCACTGGCACTTAACACAGACACTAGCACAGAGATACAAGAGATACAATATTTGTTGAATGAATGAAAGCATAACGGTGAAGATCAGCCTCTGGTTCCATCTCCAGGGAGTTGTCCCCAAGATCTTTCACTTTTCTGACATGCTCCCTAAGGAGCACTCCTTGGGGAAGTTGTGAGGATTATGTGAAGGGTTAGTACTTTCTAAGTGCTCAGTAAATACTAGCTAACAAGCCAGAGATCTCTTAAGGCACTTGAGTGTTATAGCTCGAAAGACAAATGGAGTTCAGTAATAAAAGTCTAGTTAGTATATTCTAAGAAGTTTGTAATACATTAAAAAAAAAAGTCTATCCTTGAATTTAACAGTAAATTAAAAGAATGATCCACTAAAGTAAGTAGGACTTTTCTTAGGAATACTGGGATATCTTTATATTAGGAAAGTTATTAAAACATTAGAAAAAGCCTTCCTTTCCATCTGACAGCAGGCATCAGATAAGCCAGCATGGGCGCATACAAGTGTATCCATGAGCTCGGGAGGAAGGAGCAGTCAGATGAAACGAGCTTTCTTCTGAGGGTCCACTGCTGGCAGTACTGCCAGCTCTCTGTGCTCCACAGGGCTCCCCACCCCACCTAGCCAGATAAAGCGATAAAGCACACAATCTGGGATACAAGGCCAAACGGAGGTTACATCATGAGTATGATTCATGTGCACTGTGGTTCCTGAAGG